GGGACAGAGTGGAAAACAGGATTAAAAAAATAAAATTTTGCTCCTGAAGACACTTCATAAACTTACATTGTGAAAAGGTACAGCAGAGTTTCCCAACCTCACCACTATTGACATTTTGGGCCAGATAATTCTTTTTCATACAGGGATGTCCTGTGCATTGTAGGATGTTTAAACATTCGTGATTTCGACCCACCAAGTAATAGGACCACATTGTTCCTCGCTTCATCTTGTGACAACCAAAATGTTTGAGGGGCATTTGATAAATATGCTCTGAACAAGGTGAGGAATGAAACCAAAAAGCAAATGTAGAAGTGATGATGTCACCTTTGTTATTAACAGAGCTGGGTTGGAGATCATGAGTTTCAATTTGTAAACACAGCTGGCTTGCTAAAAATAAACACAGAAGAAGGCTGACTTATCCACTGAGTTCCAGAGAGGAAAGTGTTATTAAATAAGTAAGGAAAACTGATAATTCTGAAGGCAGTTCACACTTAAGAAAGAAGAATGGCAGGCATGGTCTTTTGCTGAACGTGATCAGATTTTTATGATTTCCTTTCAATTTTGGATTTTAGGTGGACATAGTCAAATTAATTATTATTTTTGGAGCCTGTCACCTTATAATCATTGTCTATAGTGGCCAGCTTTTATCTATTTAAATAAACAGTTAATTTAAATAATGTAATTCATACCTACTAACATGCTATCTAAAATAAAGCTAGAAATGCAACAATTGTCTACTTCTAATCACACAGAGCTTCCCAGCCCATCCTCCTGCCTCTCTCAATTAAGCACCATCATCCTAATATATATGTTTCCCAAATTTACCAACAAAATAAATTCCTCCACCTCCATAGGGTAGAATAAGCAAAGTTCACAGGCAGAGGTCAGGAATGAGCTTTGGAAAAATGCTGCCTCAAGGAAAATTCTTCCTCAAGTAAACTTGGAAGGAAGAAAAGGTTTACCCTCTAACAGATGGTGTTGAAATTTGTATGTTTACTTACTGTTTCAGAATTTCAGGGTGTCCCTAGGAACTACATAGATGCCATTAAACTTTAAGAAGATTATGAAAAGTGTTTAGAAAGTGAAGGTCTATTACTTTTTATTAGTGTAAAACGGCTTTTGTTGAATTGAGCACATGATCATGGTACTGGACATCCACAATCCTGGCATCTGCAAACCCACCTTCTCATTTTGTTCCCCTATTGCCCACATTTTATTTTACATGCTGAGAATATTTTATATTTTAATACCAAAAAAAAGTAATCTTTCTGTGGATTGAACCTTTCTCAAATATGAGTTTTGTGATTTTATTTTCCTGTACAATGAAAGGGGTTCTTTCAAAATTAGACACATACCATTTTGCAGTTGATTCAATCTAACATCTCCTCCCGGGCAGTAAGTTAATAACAAATGGTACTATAATGACAGATTCAGGTTTATCTTACTTCACACACACACACACACACACACACACACACACACACCATCTATTTTTGCCACGCTTCATAATCTGGGTAGCAGTTGAAGAAAAACCAACATATTAAGTCACATATCCATGGTAACTGAGTTTCTCTGGGTTTTCAAAGTAGCTGTGATTCTAAGTTTCATTGCAAACCACATGATATTACAAAGGGCACTAATTTAAGGAAGGAGGGACGAGGAGTCCTCACTAAAGAATAAGATCCATGGCACAGGGATCTTTACTGTCTTACTACTGTATCTTTAGAATCTAGAACATAAACTGTTTCATAATTGTATCATTATCTAGAAAAGCAGAGTCTTGGTGATAAATAAAAACAATCACATCCAGTTCGTGAGCACATTCCATTTTCCATGCCTTGAGCTGGATGGTCTATGTTGGTAACTTAATTTAATTCCCCCAGCATGAATCATATTATTATCCCTAGCTGCTTTGTTCTTGACAAAACTGAGGCACACAGGAGTGGAATGATTTGCTGTAGGTCATACAGTTAATAAATATAGAGCAAGAATCAGGACCATAAAATTTCTGCCAGCCCATCTCCTCACAAACTAGAAAGACAATGTAGGGGTGATTCAGCTTGCTTGTTTTGTTTCTGCCATCAACTAAATAATGCTGCACAAATTACCAGGCCTCTGCATATGAGAGTCCTTTTCATTGAAATGCTGAGTTCATAGTCAATCAAGAAGAGCCTATCCATATATAAATAATCCATGCACAATCTTCAGACTACATCAGTATATTCTAATATTTTATTAGATATTCAAAGAAAACTTGAATTGATCTTAATTTCCACAACATAGTTTATGTTTTTGATGACATATTCCTTCTTTATTTGCTTTGTGTTGAAATTACTTTGGTATATTGTTTAAGGTTCAACTAGGCAATGGTTTTATTGGTTATTTCAGATAAATCACATTAAAAATAATGTGTGCCTAGATTGGGAGCAATGTGATTAGTTCTGGGCAAATATAGAAATTAGATAATAGGCACATAAACTTGAATAGCTCTTTATCCCCATTTTTTTAATGCAACATGCAATTTGGGCATTTTTTTTCTTTTAAATTTTAGTCAGTTCCCTTAGCCCTTATGGAACGATTTTAAAAATAAAATTAACTACCTTTGTGAACACTGGATTGTAGATTAACCCACACTATAGCAGATAAGGAAGTGGTAAAACTTTGAAGGCAAAGATGTCTTAACTTGAATATTGTCTCTGCTACTTTCTACCTAAGGAGCCTTAGGACACTTGATTTCAGAGCCTTAAGTTTACCATTTCTGTAATAAGAACAATACAACTGTCAGACACCTCCATGATAAGAATGAAAACTACCCTTATTAGAAAGCAAATCAAGCTTAAATAAAAAGGGGTGCCTTAAGCCCATCTTGGTGAAGCTGAACACCTTGTATGTTGATGATTAGATTCTATTCTAATATTGTGTTTATATTGTCTGGATATTAGACTGTTCCTGGTCTGTGTTTCACAGTCATAACAATTCTGTTATCAGTTAATTTTATTTAACAGAACTCTTATATAACACTATGTGCCAAACACCATTTTAAGTTCTTTATAAATGTTAACTCATTTAATCATTATACTACTCTGTTTATTTTCATATCTGTACATCCTTAGAACATCAGAAACATCTCATGCTCTTCTCATAAAACCTTCCATTGTATCATTATTTCTGCTTAAGGATTGAGTAAATCAAATGTATATACCTACCATGAAACATTAAGTCTCCTAACCAGGTCTGCAAAATTTAGATGAAGTGCTATTTCAACTGTGCACTAAAGAAACCCAAGCTGAGCCTTCTGTTTTAAGCCCCTGCCTTCTTTTGGTGCTACTTAAAACATTTTCTTACGGGCTTTCCAACTGTTATTTTTAGTTTGAAAAAACACTTCACTGTTCTTTGAAATGTCAGTCACCAGAGCCCACAAGGTGTAAGTTTTGGGACAAGAAATTTTGCATACATCTATACATGTATATCTTATATATTTTGTTTTTTGTGATGAACTTACCATGGAAGATATTGTGTAAATCTTTTTTTGGCATAGGTGAAGTGTACTAAGGTGCTTGAAATAAAAAATGATATTTGAATTCCAAGGTACACACTGTCCTTTGGCAGAAGGAAAGGCAATTGAAATTAATTGCTGATTCTATGAAATGTTAAATCATTCAAAGGGTATTAAATGATGTGTAAAACATCAATATTGTGAGGGGTTCTATGTATTTGGAATAATGTTCAACTTTCTGAACACATTATGTGGCTTTTGAATTTAAACTCATATTAATTATGAGTGATCATGGCAAAATATAACCATGACACTTTTCTAGGGTGACATTTTAAAACTACAATTAAAATTTAAAACATTTGCTCACCTATCTCTCTTGTGAATAAAATAAACAGGATTAACGTTGCAATCATCTTCATTAATGCAAAATTTTGCATGTTTTGTACACTAAATTCTTGGTTATCCAGCAAGGATTGATATTAAATTTACTGGATGAAAGAATTGCAGAGTTGTTAGAGTGAGAGTTTTACTATCATAACAACCTGTAGAATTTAGATTAATTCATTTAGCAAATCTGTTTTGAGCATCTACTATGTGAATAGATGATGAGGCTACAATGCAGTGGTGCGTAAAAACAATTATGCTACTTATTTGTATGGGTCTTACAGTTCAACTGATAAAGCAGGAGATGATAATCAATTATATGTAAATTTGTAATTGTGTTTACTATTGCAATGGAGAGGTTCATGTAATTATTTAATGCTATGCAAGTATGCACTAAGGGGAGCTGACCTGGTCTGGGAAGGCTGCCAGGATAGCACTGGGAAGGAGTAAGAATAGCTTTACAATGCTTATCAAAAAAAATCCTAAAAATCTAGACCCTTGGGACCAACATTTCTACATTGAGGAATTTTTCATACAGGAATAATGTAGGTTTTTCTAATCATTTTAGCTATCAGAACAAGGCATTGCTTTTATTACCAAAATATTGGAAAAAACATATATATTCAAAAGTAAAAGATTAGTTACATTTATATTATAATTATTAAACATATCAACTATCAGAAGTCTTTTTTAAAAAACATAGAAGTTTTTTATTTTCATAAAAGTTGGTTAGTGAAAAACATTAGGTTACAAAATAGTGAACGTTGGCCTTTACCATCATCCTGACCCTACCCTTCCTAGGTACTCAATTTATTCTACTTGATTTCAAATAAATAAATAAGAGTAAGAGTGATAGAAGTTAACACTAGCTACCATTTAGCACATGTCAGCCCTGTGCTAAACACTTTACATTCATTATTGCAGTTGATTTCATATTAAACAGTGAAACAGGTATTATTACATTTATTTCTTTTTGTGTATGGAATTTTTAAATACATCAGTAGTACAGATATGTATTCCCGATGTCACAAAGAAAGAATTGTTTCAGTGCTCATGCTGGTTACCATGACTTTATGTATTGCCTTTTATCTGAGATAAATACTTTGTTTTCTTGCAACAGCTTTCTGTGAAGAGGGCTGCAGATATGGTGGAACGTGTGTGGCTCCTAACAAATGTGTCTGTCCATCTGGATTCACAGGAAGCCACTGCGAGAAAGGTAATCTAGCCTGTTTTATGGGGGATAGGGAAAAAGGTAGAAAGATTGAGTCAGAAAGAATAACAACTCTTTCTTTAGGAATAATACTGTGGGTTGACTTGATACATTGTGTTGTGATGGGGCATGTGGCTCTCCCAAAGTGGGTACCTTTCTGTCATTGCTTAAAAAGCTCCCTCTCTCTCAAAATAGAGCTTCATTTGCCTTCCCTCCAATGTGTTTAATTTAGCAAGGTCAAGTCTTTTCTCTGCTATAGTTTGGAGTGTGTGTTTTTAGTGCTAATTAGAGATAAAGCCTGATGAACTGACCTGCCTCACTTATCATCTACTGGGTAGCATCACACACAATTATAGCAATCTGCTGTGTCAACGGAATCTAAATTAGCAGCACATGCTCCTTGCGTAAAACCACATTAAATAACTCCAGCAGCAGGTTTATTGGTGTGCTTGAGATTTTATTCTATTATTGGTTTATTAGGAACATTATCATTCATAGACCTGATAATATAAGCCAATTAGTGTAAGATTACATTATGTGCAACTTTCTATTTGCAACAAATGTTTTGTTTACGTCTGGCACTATTTGGTGAAATCCAACTCTCTTATTGACTGGAGAAGTCCTCCTATTTGTGTACAAGTGAAATTTGATGTTCAGTCCCAATGTATGTGTCAATTCAAGCAAGAGGTTTATGACACCTAAAAGTGAATACTTCAGTTTGTTTTTCCATGTATTTTGCTAGGGTAAAATCACTGCATTGTGTTTTTTCTGACTCTGGAATGTCACACTTACTGCTTTTCATATCATAGCATAGAAAAATGGAAATAGGATATTGTATTTATCATCCTTATTATTAGATGAGGCGGGAGGTGTCTTCATCTGGTGCCAGGGATAGAAGCAAAGCTCTTGTTTCCTTTCCTTCATGTTTAGAAGCTTCTGAATTTAGGTAACATTTTTAATGTGCCCATTTGTTATATCTCACCCTGACCAACATATTACATTGCACTGCCTATGTATTTAGAGGCAGCCCAATCCTTTAAAAAACATGTCAAAAGGTAACTAAAATTATTCAATAAGGAAATCAATATCTGTACCACTCTTTCTATATTTTGTGACATTATCAACAAATAATATATAAAATAATAATTGTCTTTTCTTAAGAAAATGTATGAAAGAGCCATGTACTCCCTTTGAGTGGCACAAGAGAATTAGCACATAGAACTAAAGAATTCTTGCTAAAAGCAAAGAAATTTAAGGGTAACTTAGGACACATGTCTTTACTGTACTACATTTAATTTTAAGTAGGTTTTTTAAAATTGAAAAACAAAACTAAAAGATTCATACCACTTCCTGTAGAACATGCTATATTTCCCTAAACTGAATACACAGAATTAATAGGGACACAACAGTGAGAGTTACGATGTCAATAATCACAGAATCTACTACTAATGATATGCCATTTACTTTTTATTTATTTTTTGTTTGTTTATTTTTATTTCTACAAGTGATTAGAGTATGGTTACATGAATAAATTCTTTAGTGGTGATTTGTGAGATTTTTGCACACCCATCACCTGAGCAGAATACACTGCACTTAATTTGTAGTCTTTTATCCTTCACCCTCTTCTCACTGTTCCCCCCGCCCAAGTCCCTAAAGTTCATTCTATCATTCTTTTATATATAAATATAAATATATTTATTTTATTGCACTTTAGGTTCTGAGGTAAATGTGAAGAACATGCAGGATTGCTGCATAGGTACATACATGGCAATGTGGTTTGCTGACTCCATCCCCATCACCTATATCTGGCATTTCTCCCCATGTTATCCATCCCCAACTACCTACCCCCTACTGTCCCTCCCCTAGTCCCCCCAAACAGACCCCAATGTGTGATGCTCCCTTCCCTGTGTCCATGTGTTCTCATTGTTCAATACCCGCCTATGAGTGAAAACATGTAGTGTTTGATTTTCTGTTCTTGTGTCAGTTTGCTGAGAATGATGGTTTCCAGGTTCACCCATGTCCCTACAAAGGACACAAACTCATCCTTTTTATGGCTGCATAGTATTCCATGGTTTATATGTGCCACATTTTCCTTGTCCAGTCTATCATCGATGGGCATTTGGGTTGGTTCTAGGCCTTTGCTATTGTAAATAGTGCTGCAATGAACATATGTGTGCATGTGTCTTTGTGATACAAAGATTTATAATCCTTTGGGTATATACCCAGTAATGGGATTGCTGGGTCAAATGGAATTTCTATTTCTAGGTCCTTGAGGAATCACTGCACTGTCTTCCACAGTAGTTGAACTAATTTATACTCCCACCAACAGTGTAAAAGTGTTCCTTTTTCTCCACATCCTCTCCAGCATCTGTTGTCTCCTGATTTTTTAATGATTGCCATTCTAACTGGCATGAGATGTTATCTCAATGTGATTTTGATTTGCATTTCTCTAATGACCAGTGATGATGAGTGATGATGAGCATTTTTTCATAAGTCTGTTGGCTTCATATATGTCTTCTTTTGAAAAGTGTCTATTCATGTCCTTAGCCCACTTTTGAATGGGGTTGTTTGTTTTTTTCTTGTAAATCTGTTTCAGTTCTTTGTAGATTCTGGATATTAGCCCTTTGTCAGATGGGTAGATTGCAAAAATTTTTTCCCGTTCTGTTGGTTAGCGGTTCACTCTAATGACTGTTTCTTTTGCTGTACTGAAGCTCTGGAGTTTAATTAGATCCCATTTGTCTATTGTGGCTTTTGTTGCCAATGCTTTTGGTGTTTTAGTCATGAAGTCCTTGCCTATGCCTATGTCCTGAATGGTTTTGCCTAGATTTTCTTCTAAGGTTTTTATGGTGTTAGGTCTTATGTTTAAGTTGTTAATCCATCTGGAGTTAATTTTAGTGCAAGGTGTCAGGAAGGGGTCCAGTTTCTGCTTTCTGCACATGGCTAGTCAGTTTTCCCAACACCATTTATTAAACAGGGAATCCTTTCCCCATTGCTTGTTTTTGTTGGGTTTGTCAAAGATCAGATGGTTGTAGATGTGTGGCGTTGCTCCCAAGGCCTCTGTTTTGTTCCATTGGTCTATATCTCTGTTATGGTACCAATACCGTGTTGTTTTGATTACTGTAGCCTTGTAGTATAGTTTGATGTCAGGTAGCATGATGCCTCCCGCTTTGTTCTTTTTACTTAGAATTGACTTGGCTATGTGGACTCTCTTTTGGTTCCATGTGAAGTTTAAGGTATTTTTTTCCAGCTCTGTGAGGAGGGTCATTAGTAGCTTTATGAGGAGGGTGTTGATTCTATAAATTACTTTGGGCAGTATGGCCATTTTCATAATATTGATTCTTCCTAACCATGAGCATGGAATGTTTTTCCATCTGTTTGTGTCCTCTCTTATTTCCTTGAGCAGTGGTTTGTAGTTCTCCTCGAAGAGGTCCTTTACATCCTTTTTTAGTTGTATTCCTAGATATTTCACTCTCTTTGTAGCAATTGTGAATGGCAGTTTGTTTTTGATTTGGCTCTCTGTTAGTCTGTTATTGGTGTATAGGAATGCTTGTGATTTCTGCATATGGATTTTGTATCCTGAGACTTTGCTGAAGTTGCTTATCAGTTTAAGGAGATTTGTGGCTGAGATGATGGGGTCTTCTAAATATACAATCACATTGTCTGCAAATACAGACAATTTGACTTCCTCCTTTCCTAACTGAATATGCTTTATTTCTTTTTCCTGCCTGATTGCTCTGGTTAGAACATCCAATACTATATTGAATAGGAATGGTGAGACAGGGCATCCTTGTGGCATCCTTGTGTCAGATTTCATAGGGAATGCTTCCAGTTTTTGCCCATTCAGAATGATATTGGCTGTGGGTTTGTTGTAAATAACTTTTCTTATTTTGAGATATGTTCCATTAATACCTAGTTTATTGAGAGTTTTTGGCATAAAGGGCTGTTGAATTTTGTCGAAGGCCTTCTCTGCATCTACTGAGATAATCATGTGGCTTTTGTCTTTGGTTCTGTTCATGTGATGAATTACATTTATAGACTTGCGTGTGTTGAACCAGCCTTGTATCCCTGGGATCAAGCCTACTTAATCATGATGGATAAGCTTTTTGAAGTGCTGTTGCAGTTGGTTTGCCAGTATTTTATTCAAGGTTTTTGCATCTATGTTCATCATGGATATTGGTCTGAAGTTTTCTTTTCTTATTGAGTCTCTGCTGGGTTTTGGTATCAGGATGATGTTGGTCTCATAAAATTATTTGGGAAGGATTCCCTCTTTTTGGATTGTTTGGAATAGTTTCAGAAGGCATGGTTCCAGCTCCTGTTTGTATGTCTGGTAGAATTTGGCTGTGAACCCATCTGGACCTGGGCTTTTTTTGGTTGGTAGGCTATTAAATGCTGCCTCAACTTCAGCCCTTGTTATTGATCTATTCAGGGTTTTGACTTCTTCCTGGTTTAGATTTGGGAGGGTGTAAGTGTCCAGGAATTTATCTATTTCTTCCAGGTTTACTGATTTATGTTCATAGAGTTGTTTGTAGTAATCTCTGATAGTAGTCTGTATTTCTGTGGAATCTGTGGTGGTATCCGCTTTATTGTTTTTTATTGCATCTATTTGATTATTCTCTTTTCTTTTTTATTAATCTGGCTAGTGGTCTATTTTGTTGATCTTTTCAGAAAACCACCTCCCAGATTTGTTGATTTTTTGCAGGATTTTTGTGTCTCTATCTCCTTCAGTTCTGCTCTGATTTTAGTTATTTCTTGTCTTCTGCTAGCTTTTGAGATTTTTTATCTTTCTTCTCTAGCTCTTTCAACTTTGATGTCGATTTTTGATCTCTCCTTGCTTCTCATTCAGACATTTATTGCTACAAATTTTCCTCTAGACACTGCTTTAAATGTGTCCCAGAAATGCTGGTACTTGTGTCTTCATTCTCATTGGTTTCGAAGAACATCCTTTTTTCTGCCTTAATTTCATTGTTTATCCAGTCGGCATTCAAGAGCCAGTTGTTCAGTTTCCA